TACTGTTCTCCATAGTGGTTGTACCAATTTACATTCCCACCAACAGCACAGGAGGGTTCCCTTTTCTCCACACCCTCTCCAGCATTTATTTTTCGTAGATTTTTTTGATGATGGCCATTCTGACCTGTGTGAGGTGATACCTCAGTATAGTTTTGATTTGCATTTCTCTAATAATTAGCGATGTTGAGCATCTTTTCATGTGTTTGTTGGCCATCTGTATGTCTTCTTTGAAGAAATGTCTATTTAGGTTTTCCACCCATTTTTTGATTGGGTTTTTTTTTGATATTGAGCTGCATGAGCTGTTTGTATATTCTGAAGATTAATCCCTTGTCAGTTGCTTTGTTTGCAAATATTTTCTCCCATTCTGAGGGTTGTTTTTTTGTTTTGTTTATGGTTTCCTTTGTTGTGCAAAAGCTTTTAATTAACAAGTTAATAATAATAAGTGAAGAAGCTGCAGTATTTAGAGGTTTATTGGTCTGTTATGTGTCAATCCTAAATATTATGATTATTATTTTTATTCCATCACAGAAGGGTTATCCAAATGCAGTCTATGGGAGAGATAAAAATTGGTTAGCATGGGACTTGTTAATAGTGAATATAGATCAAATGACAAAGTTAACCTAAGAAACACATCACTGCAGCAGAAACAAGTCTTTGAGCTTGTGGATCCAGTGGATCAATTTTTCTTGTCAGATAAAAGAATAAAGCAGTGACAGTGGTGATAAAATGCACCTCTTTGTCTTTCCTTGGAAGTAACTGGTAGCTTCAATTCCTGAAGTTCTCTGTATCTACTCAATGTAATAAACTTCTTCCTTTAATCTTGGATGATGAATAGCACCTTAATCACACGTTACACAAATGGGCACCATTTCTTTATGGTACTTGACTTCAATTCCTTTTCCTTTTGCCACCCTAGGCTTATTGACATCCATGGTTCATGATTTTTTGTTTCTTTCAAATGCAAAGGTGGCTGTGGGGTGGGATCCTTTGAGATTAACTCAACCTCATTGCATATCAGAAGAAAAAGTGTGTTCACCTTTAAGGATTGAGGGGCATGGAAAATAAAATGAGTTCCTTCACTTATTTATTAGTAATTAGAACAGTTGTCCCCTTCCAGCTCCTTTCCCAGCTCCTAATAATGTGCTCTTTAGAGCCAAGAGGGCTTCTTTAGAACATTATTTCCTAGTGATGGAAGGCAGTCGTTCTTCTCCTTCCTTCTCCTTACTCTCCCCCAAATCCAGTGTTTCTTTACACCAATTTAGACTAAGTAGTCCTACCTCAGGAATTCTCCTCAGAGAAGCAGGCTGACACCCTCTCAGTGCTACTCTGTATTTAGTACTGTAATAAGTGCTAAATGACCACACTAGAAGAACAATGTGCTTTATGAGTAACTTATCATAGAAACGGTGGAGGAGCTTTCTCCTATTTAAAGCTAATCTCTGCCTCTGAGCTTTGATGCCTCTCCTCTTTCACCTTTCTAGGAACCCACACACCAATTATGCCTATTTTCTTCTGGTTACTCAAATTTTTATCATCTGAATCCTTTCCCGCCAGCATTTCAGCATGCTTTACTCTCATTCAGTTTAATCCAAACAAAGCAAAACAAAAGCCACTTTTGACCTATACTTCCTTTACTGCCTTATTGTTTTTTTCACCTACAAAATAACTTATTTTGCACTTCTATCTCCATTTCCTCACCTGTGCTTTTTTCTGGCCTCTGCTCTCACTCCCCCAAACAATTGTGGATAAGGTTATTGAAACCTTCCCATATCACTAAATCCAAGACTTTTTCTTGTTCTCACCTCACTTGATGAGTACATCCTGATCTTAATAAGGACTTGACACTGTTGAATACTATCTATTTCCTTCCAGAAATACTCCGTTGGCTTTCCTTAATTTACTCTTAACTCTCTTGCTGCTCCTTTCTCCCCTTTTGTTAGTTTATTTTCCTGTACGGGGCATTCAGTGTTGTAGTACCTCAAGCCTTGTTTCTAGGCCTTCTTCTCTTCTCACTCTAAACTTAGTCCTAGCAATCTCATTCAACCAGCAGCTTCATTTATACCGACAGCTACTGAATAAATATTTCTAGGACAGACTTCTCTGGCTTAACCCAAAATGGGGTTGATTTGCTTCCAATATATCTATATTGAATTCTAAACTTTCCCAGGTATGAAAGTCATCACCATCCAGCCCTCCAAGTTCTAAATAATAACAAAATAACAGAAAACACTATTCCCCCTTTCTAATCTAGCCTCAAATTCTGTTGATTCTACCTCCTAAAAAAATCTCTCAAATCTTCCCTCTTCTCTTCATCTCCATTGTCATAACCCTACTCAAGAAGTCTCTCAATGTAGTTTTTTTTTTGCTCAAGAGTCTTTTTATTTCCATAATAAAATTAGCACTAAAGAGGACTAGTTATAGTTATTTGGGTTTAAAATAATATTTATTAACACAACTTTTAAAATCTGGTGTTCCATAAGACATTAGTTTCAATTTTCAAAATTTGCTATTCTCTCTTTATATAATCCAAACATATGTAAGTCTAAACATCATTTTGATATTTAGTCTGTAAACTTATTATTGTATCCCTGAATGCATAGAGCATAGCACAGTGCCTGGAACACAAAAAGCACTTAATAAGTGTTTGTTAGATGAATGACTAAGTGTTCAAAGTTAGTTTCTTTTCTCTTTTATTTTCTCCCAACTTCCTCTAAATAAAAACTAAAGCTTTCCATTTTGGTAGTTAGGTGTTACTCCTGATTATAATCTGTAAGATTTCACTCTATGTATTTAGGTTTCTAATCCACTCAGAATTACACAATATGGATGATGGTTTTGGCTATTAAGAAGATGAAGGCAAGATTCTGTAAATATGGACAGAATCCCTAACATGTCCCCAAATTGTGATTTGTAGTAGTGATAATCTGTTATGAAGAGCTAACCCATTTTCCTTCTTGAATGGGAAATCTAAGGAAAAAACAACCTCTAGGATTCCTAAATCTTGCAGAAGTTCCCTTCTCTTTGATATTCCAGGTCCATAGAGCCAAGCCAATCAGATTTTTTCCTGTTCTTCACTTTTTTTGGTGAGGAAAGGGTTTTCTAGGAAATACTGAACTTTCCTTTCCCTAAAAGTAGGCCAGAGTAAACAATCAAACTTTAAATGCAATAATCTTTCATACTTTAAACCAGCTGTTAAAAACAAAACAGGTCCAAAATGGAGTCACTTATGCTAAGCCCCACATCACCAAACCTAATTACACTTTTGGGCTTTTGCAGAAATGGAATCTTAAACTAGTCAATCAGGAATTACCTGATCAGCACTAGTGAGGTAGTCTTCCCGATGGACCCCAACTACGCCCTAAAGGAAAGCAACCTTCACACAACCAATTCACTTTTTTTTTTTTTTTTTTTTTTTTTGCGGTACGCGGGCCTCTCACTGCTGTGCCCTCTCCCGTTGCGGAGCACAGGCTCCGGACGCACAGGATCAGCGGCCACGGCTCACGGGACCAGCCGCTCCGCGGCATGCGGGATCCTCCCAGATCAGGGCATGAACCCGTGTCCCCTGCACCAGCAGGCGGACTCTCAACCACTGCGCCACCAGGCAAGCCCCCCAATTCACTTTTTGCTAGTATGATTTCCTTGTCCCGCCCTCTTCTGCCTATAAAAGTCTTTCATTTTATACAGCTCCTTTTTACCTACTAGATGAGATGCTGCCCAATTCCTGAATTGTTGGATAAAGCCAATATCTTTAAATTTTACTCAGTTGAATTTTTTTAACACAACTAATCTGAATGTCATTTTTCCCCTTTAAGTCATTATCAGTTTAAGATGAATGCTGAAAGGATGACTGACATGATCTTTGGGGTTTGCTTTAAAATAGTCCAGATATTTTAAACAACAGAGAGATGAAACAAGAATGAAAAATGTTGATACAATTTCTGAAATTCTAGAAGTTTATTATACTTTTCTTTGAGATTTTCCACAATAAAAAGTTTTAATATTTTAGCTTTTTCTATTTTTCACTCTCTGAACTTCCTTGAGAGGGGTCCTGGCCACAGGAGGAGGAAAACTGCACAACCATTCCTTCGCAAACCTCTGCCTGTCTATTCCTGAAACCTCAGGAGGGGCTTTAATCTTTGTTATACAGGTTTCACCTGCTGTCCGAAAGCAGAGCGTTCCTATGAAACCTTTTGGAAGCCAAAACGGCATAAAGTGAGGAAGCAATTACGCTAGAAGACATCTTGCTAAGGAAATAAAGCACAGATGTTCAAATACACAGTTCAAAGCTATAGCAGGGAGATGCTGAGTACAGTTTCCCAAGACAGAGCTTGGCGATGCCACTGCAGCCTCTACCACGGCTGCTGCAAAACAAACGCTGACTACTATTTAAAATTTTCGCCTTTTCCCATAAAAGTGAAAATCACATTTCTTTCCACTAGGAAAAACAGGTACTAATATGGGTCTTCGGTAAAAGCGAAGCGGCCTGTTGTGAACTTTCTACCAGCGGAGGAATACCTGTATTCGTTATTAACATATAACAAGTATCTATAGATTTCATTTTAAAACAAAGAAGGCTGGCTTTCCGCACATAACCCAAGCTGGGGGGCGGGGAGGGGGCGTTATTAAATCTCCGCCAGTATTATCCCAACCTCTTTTTATAACCAGAGTATCACAATTCCTTCCAGGAACGACCCTTTTGCCCCTCACGTCACAAGACTGTGGAGAAAGTGCAGAGCGTCGGTAGATATCCGTTCCAGGGCTCAGCCCTCCAGAAAAGGAAGCCTCGTCCTCTTCAAGACTCAGTTTCCACCGAGTGAAAGAATAACCAGGCGATCATACCGGCCCCCGGCCCCCGGCCCCTCCCGGCCCGCGGGCAGCCCCGCCCCGCCCCGAGGGCGGAGACCGGGCGGAGCAGCGCGCTCTCCTCCGCCTCCTGCCGACTCGCCGCTGCCCCTGGTGCCGGCGGCGCATGTGCCTGGCAACCCCTCCCCGGCCCTGGATTCCACTTCCCCTCCGCTCACGCTGCAGCCGCAGCCGCCTTCAGGCCCCGCGCCGCCTCCGGAGTCCATGGCCGGGACGCGCTGGGTGCTCGGGGCGCTGCTCCGGGGCTGCGGCTGCAACTGCAGCAGCTGCCGGCGCACCGGCGCCGCCTGCCTGCCCTTCTACTCGGCTGCCGGCTCATTCCCCTCGGGAGTCTCGGGCCGTCGCCGCCTGCTGCTGCTGCTCGGGGCCGCCGCGGCCGCCGCCTCTCACACGCGGGGCCTCCAGACTGGGCCTGTGCCGGCCGGGAGGCTGGCGGGGCCTCCCCCAGCGGCCGCCTCCGCCGCCGCCGCGGCCGCCGCCTCTTACCCGGCCCTGCGCGCCCCTCTGCTGCCGCAGTCGCTGGCGGCGGCGGCGGCGGCGGGTCCGGCGCGCGGTTACAGCCAGGTACGTGGGCGCCGAGAGGGGCCGCGCGCGGGACCCTTCCCCGGCAGTGCGCACGCGCTCCCGCGCCCCTCCGCGTGCGCCTCGCGTGCGCGCCCGGGGATCCACGGCACGCGCCACAGCCCCCCGCCCGCTCCCACCCTCGCCCGCCCAGTCCTCCTATTGGGCCCCAGAACAAGGGACGCTTTCCCAGCGCTCGGGTTTTCTCCTTGTTTTGTTCTCCTCTCGAGTCTCTGGTCGGTTGGGCAGTGTAAGTGTGGCTGGGGGTGAATGTTGAGGCCTTGTTTCCCGCCCGCCCATGGTAGGTTTTGTGAGGCTGTTGACGCCCCCACCGCGCATCTCTGTCGCTCTCCGCCCGCAGGTGGTGAAGTTGGGAGGCCGGACCCCCGGAGGGCTGGGACTCTCCGTGCCGCCCGAGCACTAGGCCTGGGCGGCCCTTGGTGCGCCTCGCGGCTCGCTGCTACGAAGGTTCACGCACACACTTGCGTGGGCTAGGTTCGTGGGGAAGGAGGCTGGACCCCAGCGCTCTCCTCGCTCTCGTGTCCCTTGGGAAAGGCGGGCTGCCCCAGTTACTGAAGGTCACCTCTGCACCTTCACTTCCTCTGACAGAAGGTCCTTTAGGACCATGGGTCACCGCTGATGGGAAGGACAGTTTGGAGACTGACATTGGGGGAGGGGGACCGAGGAGAGGAGGCGTCTGGGGCTGAGGCGATGGTTTGGGGACCCAGGAGTGAGTCTACAGTATTTTTTTTTTTTTTTTTTTGAGTCAGTGTGTGCTTTAAGTACTCACATTGCAAATATTTTGTGCCTCGTAGGAAGCTTCCTTTTCTGCTTCTTACGTAGCATTTGGGAAATGTCCGCACACTTTTTGACTACCATGTTCCTGATGCCTTGAGTCATATTATTGTTAATTCAATTTGTGATTCTCCTTGAACTTAGGGAAACTGGGAAGCTAATCAGCGTGGCTGCTGTCTGCCAGTGGCTGAGCTAATTGATTTGAATCCTGGCCCAATACTTTCTGCTGCCCTTTTCAGTGAAAGCTTGTGATGCCTATGGAATTCTGGGAAAATGGGGAATGTTGCTCTTATTAAAAAAAAAGCAACAAAAAAACTGTCTCTAATAAGCCTTTGTGACCTGGTTACTCTCTTTACTTGATTATTTTTTTTTGTGAATTTGACTAGCATAATGATGTGTTGAGGCTCTGCTAGTAAGTAAGCCTCTGTGCTTACTTTTATTATTGATTGCATAAAATTATGTGTAAATTTCCATGAAAATGATGGGGATATACAAAGGAGTGAAGTATCTCTCTCTTTAGCCCAGTAGAGTGCAAGTCACTTGACTTAAAGCCTGAGTTGTCTTCCCATGTTGATAATTGAAGTGCTTGTTGCATTCTTATTAAATTTAAATGTATGAGGCCTCTGCTAGAGGTTTACATTTATCATTGACTCCTTAAAATTAGACATAAATCTTCGTGTAAATGGTAGGATGGTACAGAGAAATCTATTTCCTTAGCCTAGTAGAGTGCAAGTCTTAAAACCTGAGTTGTCTTCCCTGGTTATGGTTGTGCTTGTTGGAATCTTATAACATTTCAGTTTTTGTTTAGTGTTGTAAAATAGAGTTCTTTGGGTATGTCTCAGGCTCCTGTTACCTCACACTACTGCTGTTGCCTTTTATGATCTTTCCCTTATTCAGTTGGTCTGACATACTAGTTGACAAATTAATCTTCCCAAGCATCCTGCTGTCTTGTTGATTTACACACTTCTAAATGTCTTTTATTAGCTCCCCTTTGCCTACCAGGTTAACGACACACACTGAGCTCAACCCTCAATTCCTCTGCTATGTGGTACCCAGTTTTTTTTGCCAGCTCATCTTCTTTGGCTCCTAATTGTACCCTACAGTTTAGCCAAATGGAATTATTGCTGTTTTGCAAATGGGCTTCTGTTCATACTGTTTCTTCCCCTCACTTCTCAAACTGGAATGCCTATCCTTTATATATTTCTCTCAGAATTCTAGCCTTCCTTCAAGGCTCATCTCATATCATGTCTTGATTCTTCTGTTGGTGCTCTGTTTTGAATTTCTATAATATCTTGTATCTTAATTATAGCCCTTAAAGCATCTGTCTTGTGTGCTTGTCTTAGTCTGGATGGTACGCTTTTTGAGATGAGGGCCTAATTATGGTGTGCTGTGATTAGGAGATACATATTTGTTAAATTGAAGGGACCCCTGTTGTCCTGCCTTAACTAAAACACTATTATGAGGTGTACTTCGGGACTGATGAATTTAAAAACAAGCCTGGAATAAAATTTATGTCCTGCCAAACCATTAGGCTATACGTGCTTGTTGCTTTAGGATGTACAATTTAAGCCAAAATAGGATGAGTTAGATTTGTGAATTTTACTTCTTGCCTCTGAAATACTAATGGTCCCCAAATAATAATATCCAGGGTGTTAATTTGTAGAAATAAACTTTGAAAATAAATTTTCTAAGTAGGTTGTTCAAGAAATATTACTACATTTCTTCATTTCTCTTGGAAGGAGTCCAAAACTACCTACCTGGAAGACCTTCCACCTCTCCCTGAATATGAATTGCCTCCGTCCAAGTTAGGAGAGGAAGTGGATGACGTTTATCTCATTCGAGCTCAAGGATTACCGTGGTCGTGCACTGTAGAAGATGTGCTTAGCTTTTTCTCAGGTATATTTTATGTATGTTTTGAATATGTAATTTCATCTGACTGAAAGGTAGTCCCATAAAATTCAAGTTAGGCTATGCTGTAGACATCTTATTTGATGCATGGGAATTGTCTCATTCTGGCTGGTTACATATGCATAGTGACAGCATGTGTATCATTTGTCATATATACCACGTTGAATACCGAAAAAATTTTAATGTTAAAAAACTACATGATGCAAAACCAGTTTTCTCTGAAGTTTTAATACGTACATATCAAAATGTGAAACCTGTTAGCGGGAATATGTTAGTGAGAATATAGGTTGAGTAGCTTTTTATGTAATAACATACATTTAGAATACAAGATCACTTAGCAAGTGATATAATTCCCTTAATAACATGTTTGAAGGTTTATGCATCTGTAGTTAAAGTTTCTGTATCTGACTGATTTTTAATTTTCCTCCCTCTTAAGAAGCCTTTAGAAGATGTTGCCTTAAATGTTCTAAAACAATGTAACACTGTATTAAGTACCTAATGTGCATTTGTGTGGATCAAGCAGTTTATAAAGCCACTTACATCTTCAGCTTGCTCCCAATATAAGTAGTGTGCAGTATGGGGATGTCTTTCTTTGGTAATGAAAAGGGGGAAAAGTTAAATTATTCTTATAGGAGATATATTAGAGTTCTTATGGATATGATCATAACGAAAGAAGACACTTATGCAGAAACCGTATTTTAATTCCTTAAGTGATTTGAAACTGATTGTAGAAGCACTTGGAAGTCCATATTACATTTTGTATTGAGCCTAGCCTGATTTGCCATTTAATGATCAGGGGGTCATAAGCTTTTGTGCTAAGGTTCGCTTATTTCTCCACATGGAACATTTTAGAGACTACCAGCTCATCAGCGTTTGGACGTCTTCAGTGATGGGGGTTTGTGTAAGGAAAATGACAGGCATTTTGGATATTGCTTTGTTTTGGTTTTGGAAGATTGCAATTCTAGTGACTTGTATGATTGATCTAAAACTTTGATTTCTGGTTTTAATTGATTTTACTCACATACTTTCAGACTGCAGAATTCGCAATGGTGAGAATGGAATCCACTTCCTCTTAAATAGAGATGGGAAACGAAGGGGTGATGCCTTAATTGAAATGGAGTCAGAGCAGGATGTGCAAAAAGCCTTAGAGAAACACCGCATGTACATGGGGCAGCGGTATGTGGAAGGTATGTGAAGTCGTGTTATAGCTTTTCGGGTTCATTACATTGACTGTACTTTTCAAGGCAGCTTCATTTGATCCTGTGTTAGATGTTATGAATAGTAAAGTAGTTAGATTCTATGAAAAACCCTTTTCCAGGGTGTGAAAATGAAGCACACAATCTCAGTTTCTTATCTATAAAATGAGGGTGTTGACCCAGTTTACTTCAGAAGTTGTGATGTTACAGCTGGCGCATAGTAAATACTTGATAAATGTCATTTATTATTTTCTCCAGAGAAGTATGTAAGGTTAAAAATACTAGTTTTTAGATTCCTGGATAACCCACCCAGTGTGATTATTTTTTTAATGGCTTCTTCCTTTGTTATGTAAATATTGCATACCTTTTGTGCTCTTTTTCTTAGTATATGAGATAAACAATGAAGATGTGGATGCCTTAATGAAGAGCCTGCATGTCAAATCTACACCTGTGGTAAATGATGGCGTGGTTCGTTTGAGAGGACTTCCTTATAGTTGCAATGAGAAAGACATTATAGACTTCTTCGCAGGTGCTTTTCAGTTATATTGTGTTTGGGGCCTCATATCTTTTCCCCCCATTGTTTCCTTCTTTATCTTAGGTGAACCTTCTCCTGGTAACTGCATGCAGTTTTATTAGGTTGTTTAGGGGAGAACTCTTCACTTGGATTGCCAGTATTTATGGATTATATAAGTGTTTTGACCTAAAACACTGATCTTTGGTGGGTGTCATATTTCAAAATAATTTAATGTGGAGTTTTTTTTTTTTTTTTTTTTACTATTGAGGAAAATATCCTCTCATGAGAGTGGCTATATTTGTCTTAGACAATAGTGATTTATATGATCTAAAAGCATTAACATCTAGGGAATTCCCTGGCAGTCCAGTGGTTAGGACTCTGCACTTTCACTGTTGAGGGTGCGGGTTCAGTCCCTGGTCAGGGAACTAGGATCCTGCAAGCTGCACAGCACGTCTGTTTAAAAAAAAAAAAAAAAAAGCATTACCATCTAATTCTTAGGGGTAAAATATGCACCAGTAGTGATGTTAGTCTAAATCTCTGTATATAACTAATGGCAAAAAACCAAATTGTGTGTTTTAGATGGACTGCTTGGACCCTAAATGTTCTGGGAATGTGTGGGCGTTATTAGCTTTTGGCTGCATAATAATTTTCTTCCCATTAGGCATGTATTCAGCTTTGGGACTGGCAAAATAGGCCCACAATTTTACTAATAAACTTAAAAAGAAATTCTTAGTATGTGAATGAATGTGTTTCTTAGTATGTGAATGAATGTGTTAAGTCTAAGAATAAAAAAGCTCCTGTTAGCAGCACTAATTTGTAATAATTTTTTGACATCCTAGGACTGAACATAGTAGACATTACTTTTGTCATGGATTATAGAGGGAGAAGAAAAACAGGAGAAGCCTATGTGCAGTTTGAAGAACCAGAAATGGCCAACCAAGCCCTTTTGAAACACAGGGAAGAAATTGGCAACCGGTGAGTAAAGCAGATACTAATGATGCAGAAGGATCATACTGGCCAATACACTGGGTCGTTTTGATGAATGCAGTATAATATGACTGTAAAATTATCTAAACACAGAAAAAGTAGAGAGAGTAGTATGATGAGCTGTCAAATGCCCATCACTTAGATTAACAAATTCTTAACATTTATTGTATTTGTTGCATCTGTTTTTCTAGTATGCATCTTTAAGAAAACATTTTTACATGATCCCAATATTATCACATTTAACAAAATTAGCGATAATTTATTATCTAGTGCCAGTCTGTTATCACATGTTCCCATTTATACCCAAAATGTCTTTCTCCAGTTGCTTTTTTTTTTTCCCTCACCAGAATCTAGACATGGTCCATATGTTGTATTTGATTGTTATGCTTCCATTTCTCTTCAATTAGAGCAAATCCCCATTTCCTTTATTTTTATGTTCCCTCCCCCTTTTTATTATTATTTTTTTTTCTTTTGGCTGCATGGAGCAGCTTGCTAGATCTTAGTTCCCTGACCAGAGATTGAACCCAGGCCCACGGTAGAGAAAGCATGGAGTCCTAACCACTGGACCACCAGGGAATTCCCCTCCCCCTTTTCAAGATGCAATTGGCTTTTGAAGAAATTGAGTCATTTGTCCTGTACAGTGTCTCACGTCCTGTGTTTATCCTTTTGCTTCCTCACAGTGTCACTTAACTTGTTCCTTTGCATCCTCTATTATTTCCTGAAAACTGGAAGTTAGACCTAAAGTCTTAGATTGATTCAGGTTAACAATTTTGATACAGATACTCTATAGGCAATACTGTATACTGCATATCACATCACACTAGGATACACGTAGTGATGGGTTGAGTTCATTTCTGTTTTTTAGTTTTCTTTATTTCTTTTTCTCTTTTACTCTTTTTTTGTGTGCTTATTTGTGTTTTAACTTTGGGGGAGTACTCAGAAGTGTCAAATTTTAATTCATTGTCTTGCTTGTTTTCTGACCTTTTTTCTTGAATTCTTTGAAGTTTAAAAAAGTCATTCCAAAGTCCTTCTATCTCAGGATCTACGTATAGAATTGGTTCAAAGGTCTTTATTAAAAAATTTTTAATGAAGAAAATACATGCAAAACACACAACACCCCCCCTTAATTTTCTTTCAGTACTCTTCATATTTTCTTATAACTGGGAACACGTCAGTAATATGTTTTTATGTGGGAACATCAAGGCAGTGTATAGATCTCTTCAGTAAATTAAGAAATGTTGCACATCTGGGTCTGTAAATGCAAAGGATTTGTACAATTCAAGCTTAATAACCTAATTTGGAAAAGCATTGTTGAGAAAAAGAAAACTGGTTCCAGAAGCTTGGATTTAACAGTTCCACAGCCAAACAGATACCAAGTTAGAATTGACATTTAGTTCATTAATTCTCATTAGCCTCTTAGTGAAGTCCTGGGAGAAGTTAGCTCCTCATATATTGTGACTTTTAATATCTTAAACACATATGATTAATTTTCACAGAATTGAATTGTAAGACCTCAAGAGATTGTTAATCAACTGTAAAAAACAAAATGAAACCTTTCTTACTAGATTCTTTTCATACACACAGTTAACCTTTGCATATTTGTCCGCATGAAGCAAAACAGGGTAGAAAACATTTGTTAAAATGTATATGAAGAAAACTTATCTTGGGAGGATTAAATCAGTGACCTGCTCTGTTGAGAGTACTTTTTGATGGGTGAATATCTATGTCCATTTTTACTTTATGCCCCACCTGTTGTCTTTGGACACCTGTGTTTGTTAGCTATCAGAAATAATATGTATGCATGTTTTATTTTAATTTATTTTATTTAAAAAAAAATTTTTGGCTGCGTTAGGTCTTCGTTGCTGTTCACGGGCCTTCTCCAGCTGCGGCAAGCGGGGGCCGCTCTTCGTTGCGGTGCGCGGGCTTCTCATTGCGGTGGCTTCTTGTTGCGGAGCACAGGCTCTAGGCGCACCGTCTCCAGTAGTTGTGGCTCGAGGGCTCTAGAACGCAGGCTCAGTAGTTGTGGTACATGGGCTTAGTTGCTCCTCCGCATGTGGGATCTTCCGGGACACAGCAAGATCCGCCTGCATTGGCAGGCGGATTCCTTTTTTTTTTTTTTTTTTTTGACATCTTTATTGGAGTATAATTGCTTTACAATGGTGTGTTAGTTTCTGCTTTATAACAAAGTGAATCAGTTATACATATACATATGTTCCCATATCTCTTCCCTCTTGCGTCTCCCTGCCTCCCACCCTCCCTATCCCACCCCTCTAGGTGGTCACAAAGCACCGAGCTGATCTCCCTGTGCCATGCGGCTGCTTCCCACTAGCTATCTATTTTACGTTTGGTAGTGTATATATGTCCATGCCACTCTCTCACTTTGTCACAGCTTACCCTTCCCCCTCCCCATATCCTCAAGTCCATTCTCTAGTAGGTCTGTGTCTTTATTCCTGTCTTACCCCTAGGTTCTTCATGACCTTTTTTTTTTTTCCCTTAGATTCCATATATATGTGTTAGCATACAGTATTTGTTTTTCTCTTTCTGACTTACTTCACTCTGTATGACAGTCTCTAGGTCCATCCACCTCACTGCAGATAACTCAATTTCGTTCCTTTTTATGGCTGAGTAATATTCCATTGTATATATTTGCCACATCTTCTTTATCCATTCATCCAATGATGGACACTTAGGTTGCTTCCATCTCCTGGCTATTGTAAATAGAGCTGCAATGAACATTTTGGTACATGACTCTTTTTGAATTACGGTTTTCTCAGGGTATATGCCCAGTAGTGGGATTGCTGGGTCGTATGGTAGTTCTATTTGTAGTTTTTTAAGGAACCTCCATACTGTTTTCCATAGTGGCTGTATCAATTTACATTCCTACCAGCAGTGCAAGAGGGTTCCCTTTTCTCCACACCCTCTCCAGCATTTATTGTTTCTAGATTTTTTGATGATGGCCATTGTGCCTGGTGTGAGATGGTATCTTATTGTAGTTTTGATTTACATTTCTCTAGTGATTAATAATGTTGCGCATTCTTTCGTGTTTGTTGGCAATCTGTATATCTTCTTTGGAGAAATGTCTGTTTAGGTCTTCTGCCCATTTTTGGATTTGGTTGTTTGTTTTTTTGTTATTGAGCTGCATGAGCTGCTTGTAAATTTTGGAGATTAATCCTTTGTCAGTTGCTTCATTTGCAAATATTTTCTCCCATCCTGAGGGTTGTCTTTTGGTCTTGTTTATGGTTTCCTTTGCTGTGCAAACGCTTTTAAGTTTCATTAGGTCCCATTTGTTTATTTTTGTTTTTATTTCCATTTCTCTAGGAGGTGGGTCACAAAGGATCTTGCTGTGATTTATGTCATAGAGTGTTCTGCCTATGTTTTCCTCTAAGAGTTTGATAGTGTCTGGCCTTACATTTAGGTCTTTAATCCATTTTGAGCTTATTTTTGTGTATGGTGTTACGGAGTGTTCTAATCTCATACTTTTACATGTACCTGTCCCGTTTTCCCAGCACCACTTATTGAAGAGGCTGTCTTTTCTCCACTGTATATTCTTGCCTCGTTTATCAAAGATAAGGTGACCATATATGCGTGGGTTTATCTCTGGGCTTTCTATCCTGTTCCATTGATCTATATTTCTGTTTTTGTGCCAGTATCATACTGTCTTGATTACTGCAGCTTTGTAGTATAGTCTGAAGTCAGGGAGCCTGATTCCTCCAGCTCCGTTTTTCATTCTCAAGATTGCTTTGGCTATTTGGGGTCTTTTGTGTTTCCATACAAATTGTGAAATTTTTTGTTCTAGTTCTGTGAAAAATGCCAGTGGCGATCCTTATCAAACTACCACTGGCATTTTTCACAGAACTAGAACAAAAAATTTCACAATTTGTATGGCAGGCAGATTCTTAACCACTGGGCCACCAGGGAAGCCCTGCATGTTTTATTTTAAAAGAGTTCAATGTAAAGTTACTTTGTACCATTTATGCCTGTTCACTTTTGCTTTGACATAGATATATAGAGATATTTCCAAGCAGAAGGAATGAAGTTCGAACACATGTTGGTTCTCATAAGGGAAAGAAAACGGCATCTTCTCCCACTGCTAAGTATATAACTGAGCCAGAAATGGTCTTTGAAGAACATGAAGTAACTGAGGATATCCGACCCATGACGGCTTTTGAAAGTGAGAAGGAAATAGGTAAGGATTTGCCTCTTATTGAAACTCATTGTGTCTGCCTTGTACGTTTTGATACTTGTTAAAAAAAATTTTTTTTTTATGACCACGTTGTATCAAATTGTAGATTATAGGACAAAGGAAATTGAGTTAAATGTTTAATATGTCTTTGAGTGTAGTATGTGCTATGAATACAGTCGTCCCTCGGTATCCCCAGGGGATTGGTTCCAGGACCCACCATGGATACCAAAATCCATGAATGGTCAAGTCCCATAGGCAGCCCTCCATATCCACAGGTTCCACATTCACAGATATGGAGGGTTGAAGATGGTCTTAATTATTTCATAGGTTTTTTTTTTTTAATTTAATCATTTTTGCAGATTCTGTATCAAAACCTGGGTTGCACATATACAACAAAAAGAAGTAAGATGTCAACATTTAAACTTAAGGTGGGAAAAGATGTGTGTAGAGAGCAGGATTGTTGACTAAAGTAAGGTGTTTTGTTTGCCTCTGTGTTTAATTATTCCTTTGATTCTTAATCCCAAAGCAACATTTGGAATCTTTAAAAGTTTGATAAATACTTTTAAAATTTGTGCTCTAGGATTATTCTGTTAACCATATTTATTCCTTTTTTTTTTTTTTTTTTCAAAGTGACTGTAACCCAGGGAATTTCTCTTGTCTTTATTTTTACGTTCATAATCATTTTCCCGTCTCTCAGTTGTTAGAGAAAGGTACGTTCTTTTGTAATCTGGTAATGGTTTGAGACACTAAATCCTTATGAGTGTTCAGGTGATACTTGTTAGGCAGCAGAAATTTCAGATCATCTTGGCTTTTAAAATTGAAACCCTCTTCGTTACTAGGGTATTTCAAGAGTAATTGAGGATTTTGTCATAAAGGTCATTCCTAATTATAATCTGCTAATAACTTTTGAAGTGTTTATGTTCTTGACAGTGCTTTTTGTCCCACTTCTTAGAATTGCCTAAGGAGATGTCAGAAAAGCTTCCAGAGGCTGTTGATTTTGGAACTACGTCTTCACTACATTTTGTCCACATGAGAGGATTGCCTTTCCAAGCCAATGCCCAAGACATTATAAATGTGTGTGGCAGTAAGATATCCAATCTCAATAGCTTTGAACAAAAGTTCTAAAGTTTTGAACTTCTCTTTAGGGAAGGTAGAGAAGAAAAATATAGTATTTCTGCAGTATCTTTGGACAGCAAGGTAGCATCTCCACAGTTGTGGGGGCTTGTTTTATTTTCTTTGGCTGAGAGGTGTGAGTTTTATTACATTCTAAGGTCATGTGTATAATGGATGATAACATTTCATAGGTGCAAAATAATATGGCGTAGGTTAAGTATTCAATGTAAAAAAGCTTGGTCTTTCTCTAAATTAGTTCAACCCATTCATTTTAAAAAATTAATTAATTAATTAGGTTGCACCGGGTCTTAGTTGCGGCACGTGGGCTTCTTAGTTGCGTTGCCAGCTCCTTAGTTGTGGCACATGGCCTCCTTAGTTGTGGCATGTGCAAACTTTTAGTTGTGGCATTGAGCCAGGGCCACCTGCATTGGGAGCACAGAGTTTTATCTGCTGAGCCACCAGGGAAGTCCCTCAACCCATTCATCTTTGAGTTTAAGAAAAAGAGACTCCGAGAGCATTTGTCACAGGGCAGTTATATACTAGACACGAATCTAGTACGCCTAAATGCCTGGAGTTCTCATTACACCATATAGCCTTCTTGCATCCAGCTTCCCTGATTTTTGAGAAAAGGAATTTTTAAAATATTTTCATTTTATGATAGGTACTCTGTGAAATGAAAAGATGAAATAACAAAGTCCTTATTGACTTCCTGAACTCCAGGATGTGTGTGTGCTTAAGGTAGATGAAAATCTAGGATCCAGTTAGTAGTGGGGCCTCAGAATTAGTTAGTAGTGGGGCCTCAGAATTGTCTTTGTTTTTTCAAAAAACCTATAAGAATCATATTTTTACCTAAATGAAGGTTGCACAGTCTCATTAAAGAATTGGTTTGGTTTGGAATATTAACCACTCAGTGTGGTAGCTCTGTTTAGGTAGTGCTGATAAGAAACTTATTATCAGCTCCATGTTTGATTAAAACATGGTAAAAATGAATTATTAAGAAATGACGTGTAGGGACTTCACTGGTGGTCCAGTGGCTAAGACTCCGCACTCCCAATGCAGGGGACCCAGGTTCGATCCCTGGTTAGGGAACTAGATCCCACGTGCCACAACTAAATGTCCCGCATGCCACAAGTAAGATCTAGTGCAGCCAAATAAATAAATATTTAAAAAAAAAAATAGAAATGAAGTATATTTGACGGACAGTTTTTAGAAACGGGAAAGGAGGTGTGTGGGAGGAATAATAAAAGTGGTCCTTGTTGGTATAAAGAAAAGTTTGATAACTATTGTATATTATTGTATTGTGTATATAGTTTAAGTTCTCTGTGAACAGATATTTGAAATGTAGCCGTGAGTTCTCAGAAGATCAGAAGAGCCAGCAGAGGTGGTAGATGTGTAACTACATTGTTGCTTAAAGAGATTTCCTAAAAATAAATTTAGCAGGTGTATGAATTAAAGTCTGAAAGAAAAATGCAGAGCCACCAGACTTCTAGAAATTGACCTAGTAACATTATGTTCCTTTTGGCTTCCTTTGTTTGTTGTTTAGTTTTTTGCTCCACTGAAGCCTGTTAGAATCACCATGGAATACAGTTCCAGTGGGAAGGCCACTGGAGAAGCTGATGTGCACTTCGATACCCACGAGGACGCTGTTGCAGCTATGCTCAAGGATCGGTCCCATGTTCGTAAGTGCTGCCCATGGTTTTTGTTATTCTTGATGTCTATCTTTGTTTACAAATGCCTTTCTGTGTTTTTTGTGGGGTTTTTTTGTTTTGAGAAAAGCCAGCATAAAGCACTTTTATTGCAATAATAAATCTTGAAACTCATATGTAGTGCAGGGGGGTAGAGGTAGGGGTGGAGGAGTAAGCAGCAGTTTCGCTCACCAGATCACTACACAGGACAGCAAAGGGATGAGAGAGGGGGAAGGAGAAGCCAGGAAACTCTGAGATCAGCAGGGGGAGCTGAGCATCAAAAAACAGGAGATGCTGAAGCTGTGATGACCAGCATCATTTTCTGAAGACAGCACTCAGGGATTTGTCATGATGGCTGGGCTTTCATGGGTGTTAAGTGTCTACAAACAGTACCTTCGATTTAACTTTCGATTAAAGTTCTTAAAATTAGAAGTGGAGCTTGGATAGCTATGAGATTACAAAAGTCCTAAATATCCATTAGAAAAACCACGGGATGGGAAAAAAAGCCAGGTCATGAAGAAGGCTTCAGAGGTCCCTGCTGGCCTGGGGTCAGACACCTGTAGTGTCCAACATCTCAGTGAAAACGATCTGCTTTCAAAAGGCAGAGGGTTAAGAACGGATCCTTTTCTGTCATTCTCAGACCATAGATATATTGAATTGTTCCTGAATTCATGTCCGAAAGGAAAATAAGACTTCCAGGGATTCCAGAAAATAAGGTAAACTTAAGAGGTGCAATTGTGTAAATTATTTTCAGTTGATAAGTTAATCATTAACTCACAAATTTATAATACAGTTGAAAACCATTTTAATAAACATCAAACTAATCATGATAATTGAAGCCTGACTATAGGGAATGAAATTCTCCTGGGAAATAGAATTCATTATGATCATACAGTAGCTTTGAGTATTTTCCCCATTAGAATCTTTTTGCATCATTCCCAACATTCATCATGCTATGTGCTTAAAAAGAACTTTTCATCTTTAGTAGCTGTATATTATAAAACACTGAAAATGTGCCTTGTGTTAGCTTGTCGTCCTATAAAATTTACATACATTTCCTCAGTTCTAAGATATTTTTTAGATATCTGAAACCAGGGTGTGTCATGGATTTGTACACTTAATGTAACACTGCTTCTTTTCCTGAAATGGTGTTATGAAAATTGTCCTAGGAAGTACATAGATTCCAGAGTTTTATCTGTGACAAATCAACTAAATATGTATTGATGTCCCTTCCCTGACTCAGTGCCATGTGTTCTCTTTTTCCCCATAAAATCTTTTAATATATTGTATTGTGATCATTTTTCTACATGTAATGGGGCATTCCTTTAAGACACTTACCTGTAGTGATTTCTTGAAAACACTTGGGGCATTTGTTTACTATAGTTGTCATAGGCTATTTTTGGATATAAAGTCCCACAGTCTCGTGGGACTTAAATATTTACATTAGCTAAAATCTATGCAAAATATATTCTGCGCCCAACTCTGAAAATCTGCTATCTTCATACCAGGCTGCAAACACTAATGCCTAACTAATTTTCTTCACCTTAGCTTAATTGGTTTGTCAGATAACTTGCAATAAATCAGAAAGAAAAAGCTATTGAATTTGTAGTTTTAAATGGTATGGGAACTTGCGCAACACATTTTCATTTTGAGTAAGCATGCAACATTTTTTGTTTTATTTTCAGGATGAAGCAAGAAGCATTTCATTTGCACATCTTTCTTGGACATGGGATCTAAAGTTCCAGTTTTTTAGCAGCAACTGCTAGAGAAACCATTTGGGGGTTTGGGGTTAATTGCTTATAAGAAAAATTCCATAGTGGACTGTTTAGAAAGAAAAAGGAAAAATTCAGTTTGGGATTATGAAATAAACCACAGATTTACTTTTTTGTTTAAACTGTCCAGGATCTGATTAAAAATCTGGTCTTTATTTTATATGATTAAACAGTTTTCATAGACGATTTGTGACCCAGTGTAAAGACTACATATTTTTATTCAGCACTGTCCTTTAAAATCTTTCTCCCATTTTAAAAATGATCTGTTTGAGGTTTTGTTTTTTGCCTGTGAATTAAGAGCTCTGATGTGAAACTTTTTATGGAATGAAATACTGATTATTTTAACCAAATACTCACCAAAGCAAGGAAAGGTTTCAGACCTTTGAACCATTATGGTTTGGCAGAGTTATTTTAATTTTAGGTGTATTTGGTTACTTAGATAGGGGTAGGAATTTTAAAAAAGTCAAAACAAAAAACAAATACCACAGGTTAGTGAGTGTAAATGACAACAGTTTGGCAGTTTTATGTCTTTAGAAATGTTTTGCCTTTCTAAGCCTTGTGCTGAAGGTATTTAACATTGGTGCCTGTATAATTAAGGAGGCAATTATAGTCTTAATGTAAAAGTTGTCTGACCCCTGCCCCCCCACCTGTTTTTGACTTTGGGGTAGACCTTAAGGTGTGTGTTAGTCTCAATACTGTGAAGTGACATGTCGTAACAGTCCTGACTGGTAAGGACATTAATGGCTTCACTTGAATTTAAACCAGCTCTAGATAGGAAAAAATCTGAGCCTCATTTGCTTTTTCAGTGGGGTAGCACATCCCATATTTTAGAACAAGTAGGGGTGCCTTGCTTAACTAAAAGTAGCATTTAACGTATAATCGTGTGAAAGGATTATGGATAAAGCTGTATTTCTGTCACATTGTGGCAGTACTTTCTGCTTTAATATTAAACAGCTTGTTATTTAAATATTGGATCAAAATGGCTGGCTTCAAAATGTAGTCATTAATAAACTAACTTTATGTGTACCTGTGTAGGAGAATCAAAGTCCTGTATGTTTTCTTTGCCTTGTTCCTGTTCTCAGGGTGACGACTGTCACGTGGTTACCAGGAGATGCAGTTCTAGTTCTTAAAGTTTAATTAGCCCAGATTTCTGAGAGGTGGTATCTGGAAGAGAGATTATGTCTTCTCTCACTTAATACATAACCATCTTTGATTACCAGCTAAGATACGGAATCACTGTACTGTAAGTAGTCAATAAATGAAGGCTTGTTTCAGGCTGAAGATTACCTAAGAGTATTTATTTTGGAGTGTGTGAATCAACCTAGTACATTTTTATTACATCAAGTCCTGGTATATTATTATAAGAAGAAATGGTTAATTTGTAATTGTGTTTGCTTTTATCATCCTATAAGAGCATGATTCAGTCAACCAGCTTAACATCTTCCGTATTACGACCTAAGTAGAAATGTATTTTCATATGTGGTTGAATGTATTGAGCTATAAGAACTGGTGTCTATAGCCGTATGAGCTACTAGAATGCGATCTTTTCTTTCTCCCTCTAGCAGTAGGTCTGTGGAAAAAAATCTGTAGTGTTGATTAGGATTGGGGTTGGTGAGGAATTAATTCATTTGCAATTACTTTATTTTAAACCTAATGAGGGACTTCCCTGGTGGTCTAGTGGTTAAGACTTCGTGCTCCCAATGCAGGGGGCCAGAGTTCGATCCCTAGTCAGGGAACTAGGTCCCGCATGCCGCAACTATAGACCCGGTGCAGACAAGTACGTAAAAATAAAAATAAAAAATAAAAAAGATAATGAGTTTCCCTTGCACATCTCTCTGAAAAGAATGAGAGCAAAGCATTAAGATATTACGTGGTGGGTAAGCTTGAAGTGTGTATCTTCTTGTCACACTAGTGGCCAAGTTCTCAGGAAAAAGGTGGGCATTCTTGGGAAGTCATCTTATGAATTCATATACTTTCCTGTACTTCCTTTAGTAGGTTATTGCTCATAATTTACATTAGTAAATGAATAATTGCTGACAAGGCAAATTACTAGAAAGTTAGTAGAAAGGGAAGAAAAACAGATAATAGAATAAAAGTAATCTTTTATTTTTATCCAATCTAAAGACATACTTCTCCCTCTTGAAATTTGACAAGACTGGATTATGCATCATCATTTGCTATTGAAAGAAATAATGACAGTGAATTTTGCTCTTCTCGTTGGGTCCTCTTTGTCTTTTTAATTTCCTTTGTGGTAAAGCTCTCAGAAATAGTGGGGTTGGATATGTCCAGGTTACCCATATCCTGCTTTGGCTAGCTCAAAGGAATTGCAAGGGAAGACACATAAGGAGCATGTAAATACCAAGGAGAAGATTGTTGAAGATTGTGATCTGACCTGATATACTCACTTTTGCCAGGGAATTAAGCAGAACCATTTTGTGCTTGTCTTTCCACGTCTGGGTGAGACGCTTCTGCCAGGTGGCAAGGGAGACTGATTCTGCTGTGGAGCAGTAGGCTCTAAATCCTTCTCACTTCTGTGGTGTGGAGAGAAAGAGGCAGGAGAAAGCCACTTCCATCTATGTGACATTTTGAGGCAGTGACCCTGCTTATTATTAGTTAACATGCCCTATTGGCATCCTCTGCCCTAAACAGTCCCTTAGCGGGTTCTCACTTGGAGATTTTTCTCTGGATTACATCTTGATCATTTTATAATTTAAAACATTCCATTATTTTGAGAGTTTTCCCTAAATTATGTGAAAGGGTTCACGTTCAATTGGTAGGGCCTGTATTATAGAGTAGAGTGGTATATCTCAGCAGTAAAGTGCCTAAGTTCCAGGGCTTTGAAAAAAAAAAATTGCTCTAATGTAGTAGGAATACATTTTTCCCGCCTGAATTCAGCAGATCAGAAAATAAATCTCTGAAGTTTGTACGAAGGGAATAAAGCTGCTATAAACATTTGTGTGTAGGTTTTTATGTATACATAAGATTTCAACTCATTTGGGTAAATACCAAGGAGTGTGATTGCTGGATCATATGGTAAGACTATGTTTAGTTTTGTAAGAACCTGCCAAACTGTCTTCCAAGATGGCTGAACCATTTTGCCTTTCTACCAGCAAAGAATGAGAGTTCCTGTAGCAACTCATCCTTGCCAGCATTTGGTGGTGTCAGTGTTTTGAATTTTAGCTATTCTGATAGGTGTGTAGTGATACTTAGTTTTAATTCGCAATTCCATGATGTGCAAGTTGTTGACATCTGTATATATTTGCATCGGCATATTGTCTTTGGTGAGGTGTGCAGATCTTTTGCCCAGTTTTTTTAGTTGGGTGGTTTTCTTACTGAATTTCAGGAAGAGGATATAGGAAGGTTTAATTTGGTTCTTAAACCTTGATGATACGAAAATAAATAGAATAATTTTTAAATTTTGTGGTTTTTTGAAGGAAATAAAATTCAAGAGATATGAAGGGCTATACAGTGAGCAGTTTCCTTCCCATCCTATACTTGAGCCACTTAGTTCCCCTTCTCAGGCAACCCTGTTATCAGTTTCTAATGTAAACTTCCAGTGATTTTACTATATAGATAAGCAAATATTAATAGGCATTTTCATTTATTTAAAAAATATAAATTATAGCATAGTATGCATACTGTTCTGTACATTTCTTCCCATTTAATTACATTCTAAATATTTTATATGCGTATATAAAATCCTTTCTCATTTTTTAAAATGATTGTACAGTGTGGGTGTATTTCACTTAACCTGTCCTTACTGATGAAGATGTAAATTGTTTCCAATCTTTTGCTGTTATACTGCTGAAAGGAATTACCTTGTATAAATTTGTATCATTTTGTACATACATAAATTTCTCTGTAGGATAAGTGATCAGAGTATGTGCACTTGTAATTTATATCTAAAATTCAATTGGTATCTATAATTTGTTTTTCCTTAGTTTGCACCAGCAATGCAATGCAAGTGTCCATTTCCCCATAGCCCTCCAACAGTGTATTAGCAATCTGTTCTTTGGCAATCTGCCAAGCTTAAAAAAACACACAGAATGGTATTATGATGGAGCATTTCTTCATGTTTAAGGGGTTTTGGGATTTTTTTTCTTATAAATTTGTCTTCATATCCTCTCCCCATTTTTCTTTTTCTCTTATAATCCCCATCTACTTATCCTCATTAATTTTAAATCAACTTCAAGACAGCATCATTTTATCTGGATATATTTCAGTGTACATCTCTTTTAAAAAAGGACTTAAAAAGTACCATCATTCCTAAAAATACTAATTTCTTATCAAATATCTATATGAAATGTCATTTTATAAAAGTATATTTGAATCATGATCTGAACAACAGTCCACACATTGCAATGGTTATTATGTCTCTTTTTTCCCCTGCAACATGTTTTAATACAAAAATTCAAGTATCTGGAAAAGTTGGATTAAAAACATGCCTATACCTACCACCTAGATTCTACAAGTAACATTTTGCCATATTTCCTTCATCATGTATCTCTGCACCCATCAGTCTTTTTTCTTATGTGTGTCAAAGTTGTAGACATCTATACTTGAATCTTAAGCTTTGTGGCATCCATATCATTAAGTAAACTTCTTGTTCTTGAGGTAAAATTTACAGTGAATTGAACAAATATTAATTTGATGAGTTTTGACATACAGCTGTGTAACCCAAACTCCTTATACAAGCTATGGAACATTTCCATCACATCAGAAAATTTCTGTAGTCAATTCCTGTACCTCTCCCATCCCTTCTTATTAGGATTTTGTCTTCACCATAGATTAGTTTGGCCTATTCTAGAACTTCATAGAAATGGAATCAGTATGTATTATTGTGTAAATTTCTTCCTCTAAGCATGTGTTGAGATTCATCTATGTGTTTCAGCTTTTTGTTCCTTTTCATTGTTGAGTAGTATTCCATTGTATGAATATGCTATAGTTTAACCTTTCACTTGTCGGGTGAACAGCTTGTGGGTGCTGGGCTGTTTCCAGTTTTTGGCTATTATGAATAAAGTTGCTGTGAATATCCTGTGCAAGGCTTCTTGTGGACCCACGTTTTAATTTCTTTTGGGTAAGTACTTAGTAGAATATCCTAAATTGCAAGGTTGATATATTTTTAATTTTACTAGAAATTGACATACCCTTTTCCAGAGTGGTCATCCTGTTTTAAACACCCGCAAACAATATGAGAGTTCCAGTTGGTCCACATCCTCACCATCTGATGTTTTCAGCCTGTAATTTTAGCCATTCTGTAGATAGTGGTATTTCATTGTGGTTTTCATTTGCTGTCCCAATAAATGATGTTGAGCATATTTTCATAAGCTTATTGACCATTCAGATATCTTTAGTGAAATTGAAGTGCCTGTTTCTTATTTCTTTTAATCTTAATGTTTCCCCTTCCATTTCTTTTTTCCCTTCTTATTTGTTGAAGAAATGCAATAAACCTTTAGAGGTTTTCCACAAGCTGAGTTTCGCTGATGGCCTTTCAGTGATGTTAAATGAGCACTTTTCTATTGTGTTTGGTCTTTTTCTTAATTAATTGGCTTAATTGGCAGGAGACCTTGCAATGAGCTGGCTTTAAATACTGCCCCGCCACCCCCTGACAGTTTGTCACTTTATTTGCTTATCATGGCAGAAATTGTTTTTATGTGGTAGATTTCTTAAATCTTCCCCTTTTATGGCTTCTAGGTTCTGTGTCAGAATTAGGACATCCCAGTGAAATGATTTTGAAAGCACCTGGTGATAAAGCATGAAGGTATGTAGCCAATGTAGACTCTAGAATATGGACAGCTCAGTGAAACCCACAAGGATCACCAAGGTACATTTAAGAATAAGCTTCTCAGATGATCCAGACTAAATTTGAAGCCTGTGAAACTTCACAAGTATATTCAAAGACTTGTGATCCCAAAACGTGCTTGGTTCTAACTGAAATAAAGAGGCTCTCAGCCTTTCTGCCACTTGATGATGACATTTGGGAATAAAGACCAGAACTGAGAAACCAAGTTACTCAGAATTTCTGATAGGCTGGCTGTAATTCCATCCATTTCTTGTCCCCTCAAGAGAGCAAATGGGGGAATACAAATGATAATATTGGGCTAATTTTTAACCTGCTCTAATATACAGGAGTAAACTATTTGTGATAGACCTTATAATTGAATATGAATGATCCTAATCTGCTGAAAAGCAGCGCCCCAAAATGGCATGGTAGTACTGCTGCCTGGAGACTTGTTCAGTCTTTCTACCCTACTACCCATTAGGGTCCTGAGTCCTCTCTCTTTACCAAGCTTAGTTATTAACTCAGGAATCTGACATCCTCAGTACTGCTTACAGTTGGTCTCTGGTTCTATTTTTAACTATGTTTACATTTCAAGATGATATGCTGTCTTTGAATAAAGTTTGTCTTTTATTCTAGGTATAGAAACTGTGCTTGTCAGATCCTTGATTTCTGATTTGGTAGATTGACATGCTTGCAAAATCTCTTATACAAAAGTAATTAATGTGTTAACAACAAAATCAACTGTCCTCAGGAATGTTGAGAATAAAATAGAAGACCTCAATAATTGACAATCCCCAAGCTAACAAATGTCTAAGAATCATTAAGATTTGACCTGGGAGAACATTTGTGGGGTTATTAGGCTAAGTTATTAGAAAGATGCTTTACTATATATCAAAACATGCCACTTACTTCTGAAATATAATTCTTTAAAAAGGGCTACATTTTCTCTTGGGCAAAGCTGAAATGAGGCTGTAATATAGGCGAGGGCCCTGAGAGTTACTTCAAAATCATTAGGCCATACCTGGAGTCCTTTTACAGAATGGTTAAATTCCCTTTAAGAATTTAAATCATACATATTTTTTCCGACTTTCACTATTTTTTATTACTAGGTGTTTTTTATTTCCATTAAATTTTTTTTTTAAAAATTAAAGTATAGTTGATTTACAATGTTATATTAGTTTCAGGTGTACAGCAAAGTGATTCAGTTATACATATCTATATCTATCCTTTTTCAGATTCTTTTCCCATATAGGTTATTAGAAAATACTGAGTATAGCTCCACGTGCTGTAAAGTAGGTCCTTGTTGGTTATCTGTTTTATACATAGCAGTGTATATATGTTAATCCCAAACTCCTAATTTATCCCTCTCCACTGCTTTCCCCTTTGGTAACCATAAGTTTGTTTTCTATGTCTGTGGGTCTATTTCTATTTTGTATATGTTAATTTGTATCATTTTTTTTTTTTAGATTGCACTAATAAGTGATATATACTTGTCTTTCTCTGTCTGGCTTACTTCACTCAGTTTGATAAATCTCTAGGACCATACATGTTGCTGCAGATGGCATTATTTCATTCTTTTTTATAGCTGAGTAATATTCCATTCTTTATCCATTCATTGATGGACATTTAGGTTGCTTCCATGTCTTGGCTATTGTAAATAGTGCTGCAGTGAACATTGGGGTGCATGTATCTTTTCAAATTATCATCATACATTTTTATAACTTGACTGTAAATAATGAATGAACCAAGGACGTTGTGCTGAGCTATAAATCTGATTTAAAATCCTCATGCTGAGGAAAATTCTCAGATTCTATTTGGAAATAAACTGCATTTAGGGAGTTTAGTCAAGTTCTATTAGGTCAGACCTGTAGTTGTTTTGAGTATGAAAGCACAATTTTTTAAATTTAAATAAACTTTATTTCAAAATAGCTTGAGATATACAAAAATGTTGCAAAAGTAGAATTCCTACTTCTACCTCACCCAATTTCCCTACTGTTTACATCTTACATTCCTACAATATATTTGTCACAACTAACTTTAGTACATAACCATTAACTAAATTCCAGACTTCATTCAGATTTTATTAGCTTTTCCCTAGTATCTTTCATTCCAGGATCCCACATTACATTAGTCTTCGTGTCTCCTTAACCACAGTCTTTCTTGTTTTTGATGACCTGACAATTTTAAGGAGTACTGGTCAGATATTTTGTTATATGTCCCTCAATTGGAGGTTCTTCTCATGTTTAGACTGGGGTTGTTGGTTTTGCAGAGAAAGAATACAAAGGTGTCATTCTCACTGCATTCATCTTATCAAGGATTCACGTTATCAACGTGATTTATCACTGACCATGTGAATTTTGATCACCTGACCAAAATAGTGTCTCCTAGGTTACTATAAAGTTCCTTTTTTCTCTTTCTATAGTCTCCTTTCTCGAAGTTACTAAGCACAGCCCAGATTCAAGAGGTGGGGAGGTAAGCTCCACTTACCTGAAAGAATCGTAGCTACGTAAATTATTTGGAATTTTTCTGTATAGGAGAGATGACATTTCTTCACCATTTATTTAATGCTTTATATTAATATGGACTCGTAGGTATTTTATACTCTGGGTAATAATCCTATTCTACGTTATTCTGCTCACATTTTTTCAGCTTTACTCATTGGGAGCTTTTAGCTTGTTCCTGTATCCCTTTGAGAATCAGCCATTTCTCCAAGGGGTCCTGGTTCCTTTTATTGGAGAATGATATTAGAAACCAAGGTTTGGTTTCTAATGAAAGATTGGGCATTGGGTGTGCCCAGTGCTACTGGGGTGTCGACTTACAGACCCTCTCAGCAGATGGGGCTTTATGTCTGTGTACCAGCCATATACACATACATATCTAATTATTTTCTGTATCCGACTGGAAAGCATGGTACTTTAAAAATCGTGGTAAAATATACATAACAAACTTTACCATTTTAATCATTTTTAAGTGTACATTTTTGTGGCATTAAGTACATTCATATTGTGCAAACACCACCACTACCATCCATCACCAGAACTTTTTCATCTTCCCCCAACTGAAACTCTGTATCCATTTCCCCCTTCCCCAAGTCCTTGGTAACCACCATTTTACGTCATCTCTGCCATTCTACTACCTATGAATTTGACTGCTCTAGTCACTTCAAACAAGTGGAAACCTACTTGTCCTTTTGTGACTGGCTTATCTCACTTATGTCCTTAAGGTTCATCCATGTTGTAGCATGTGTCAGAATTTCCTTTTTAAGGCTGAATACTACTCTCTTATATGTATCTGTCATATTTTGTTTATCCATTCATCAGTCAATGGACACTTGGGTTGCTTCACTTTTTGGCTATTGTGAATAATGCTGCTATGAATGTGGGTGTATGAATAATTGGTTCGAGTCCCTGTTTTCATTTCTGGGTATATACCCAGAAGTGGAACTGCTGTATTAATGGAACTTTTAATTTATGAACCAACCACGATACTGTTTTCCACAGTGGCTGTAACACTTTACATTGCCACCAACAGTGCACAGGGGTTCCAATTTCTCCACAAGTTTTTAATTTTGATGAAGCCCAACCTATATTTTCTTATGTTGCCTGTGCTTTTGGTGTCTTATCCAAGAAATTGCTACCAAATCCAATGTCATGAGTCTTTCTCTTCTCTATGTTTTCTTCTGAGTTTTATAGTTCTAGCCCTTATGTTCAGATCTTTGATCCATTTCGAGTTAATTTTGTATATGTTGTAAAGGTCCCTTTTAATATTTTTGGCATGTGGATATCCAGTTTTTCCAACATCAGTTTTGAAAATACTTTCCTTTCCTCATTGAATAGTCTTGGCACCCTTGTCAAAAATAATTTGACCATATACGTGGGGGTTTATGTCTATGCTGTCTATTCGATTGGTCCTATGTCTGTCTTTATGCCCGTACCATACTGTTTTGATCACTGTAGCTTTGTAGTAAGTTTTGAAATCAGGAAGTGTGAGAGACATTCAATTTTGTTCTTTTTCAAGATTGTTTTGGCTATTTAGGCATCCCTTGAGGTTCTACAGGAATGCTTCTATTTCTGCCAAAAATATTGGGATTTTTGATAGAGATTACATTGAATCTGTAGATGGTTTTGGGTAGTATTGGCAATGTTTTGTAGTTTTTCGTGTACAAGTCTTTTACCTCTGTGGTTAAGTTTATTCCCAAGTATGTTATTCTTGGTGATGCTAAATGGTGGAAAGCACAATTTTTAAGGAAGAAAGGCCTAA